TAATGATAAAACACAGCAAACAAAGATAAGCCACGAGAACTTGCCAGAATGCTTGCAACCGAGTATTCATCAAACTTTGTCCGTCACGAAACTTCACATGCCACACCCCTTGCTTATATAGCCAGTGGGGTGTGGCCCAGTGACTCAGCGGAATTGTCTGGCCCGACGTGTCTGCTGCTGCGCACGCCTATCTCTTCGATGCTGGCGTGGATCCAGCCAAAACTTATCCTCTTCTGAATCCGATACTTCCGGCTCCTGGCCAGTCCCAGAAGTACCGGGCTCTTGGCCAATCCCAGAAACTCCGGGCTCCTGGCCAATCCCAGAAACACCGGGCTCCTGGCCAAACTCCTCGCTGTCGGAAGGCACCGAAGGCTGCACCAGAGGGGAAGGGCCGGGAGAGAGAGGCCTAGCCATCTCCTCTCCGTCATGTTCAGAGCCTTCCTCCTCTGATGAGAGGGACCCACCGGACGGAGCCACAACAGGGAGGAGCTTTCCAGGAGTCACTTGGACCTTCTGAAGGGGTGATCTCCTGTACCCCGAAAGGGCCGTTTGCCCTGGTACTGCTGCCTGGGTCTGGTGCCCGATCTCTCAGATGGGCAGTCCTGCCTGGTCATGAAGGAACGGGGGGTTGCGCAGGACCTGAGCCTGCCCCTGACCGAAAGGACTGCCTGCGGGCATACGGATTGGCACGTCTGTCTGCCCGTCTGCTAAGGTGAGCCATCACCTTTCTTTTATCCTTATTCTCAATCAAATAAGGTGCCAAAGCCTCCCCAAACAGCTGCCCCCCTTGATACTGGGCCACCGCCAAACGCCACTTAGATTTGGCGTCAGCTTGCCAATGTTTGAGCTACAATAGCCGTCGTGCTATAACATTGGAGACTATGGCTCTGGAAGAAAATCTGGCAGCGTGTAATGACGCATCAGCTATATACTCCAAGGCTGCAACCAATTTGCTCAAGTCTTGGTGCGTGCGTACCTACTTCGGAGGAATTCTGGCCTGGAGCTGGCGGAGCCAGAGGAGAGAGGTTCTGGTAAAGAAGGATGAGCAAGTAGCAGCTCTTACCGCCCATGCCGCCACCTGGTGTGTCCTGAGGAATGTCAATTCCGATCTCTTATCCTCAGCCTTCAACGTCTTGGCCATATCCCCCAACACCATAGATGCGGACAGTAGAGGGGTCAAGGGTTCATCCACCGCTGGCACCTCAAGAATGTCAGCCAAAGCTGATGCTGCGCTAAACAGTTTCCTGTCCGTTCCCCCAAGGAGGGAAAGGTGCCAGGTGAGGCCCATTGCTTCCGAATGGCGTTCAAGAATAAAGGCGGGACAGGGAACATGGTGCTGAGTCACAACTGGCTCAGAAAACACTGGATTTGGATCCGAACTGGTGGAAGGGCTGGGTTGGGGAATTTGATCAGGACCTATGTTGGCCGTGATGCTGGCCTTGCACAGCAGTGGTAAGAAAAGGGCCGGGTTGAAGAGGCCCCCAAATGGCGGAGGGTCCGGAGAGGACTCCTCCTCCTCCGACAATGGTATGTCCATTTGGTCGTACTCCGCAGGGGATGATGCCCTGCTATGGGAGGACTGGGATGGTGAGGCAGAGCCATGGTACTTGGGTGCTCCAAACTGGGGAACATATGATGGAGTCATGGAGGCAACTGACTCGGGTCTGGACCTATGGTAAGACCTGGAGAAAAAGGCCTGGTCGACAGCCTGAGAGATCAATGCCTGAAGTTGTGCAGTGGAAAACGCTCCTTGGGGCTCTGTCGCCCTGAGCCTGCAGCCTCTGCGAGGCCGGAGCCAGAAGAAAGCGAGACGGATCGACCTGTGTCTTACTTGAAAACTGTCATCCGTCAATTGCCAGCTGAAACAGGGAGCTGTGAGCACCAATTTAATAAATAGTCTGGCGGCAGCAGCGAAACGGTTCACCACATGGCGTCCAAAATGGCGGTCGTGACAAAAACGGGACGCTAAAACTAGAAGCGGAGGTCTCCATGATGAACAGGGAGCTCTGAGGAAGTCCCAGAATCTTCATGAGGCAATCCAGAACAGCGCTGATCCCACCGCTGTTGAGATGGCGGTAGAGACGATCGGCTGTGCTAATTTTGGAAGCGGAAGCCTCCGCAATGCACAAGGAGCTTTGGGGAAGTCCTAGGCGTTCAGCCAGGCAACCCAAAACAGCGCTGATCCCAGCGCTATAGAGATGGCTGTGGAGATCGAAAACCCACGAATGGGAGTAACTAAATACAACCTGCTGCTAATAGACTGGGAGCCAAATTTGTCACGTCCGTCTGGGCTGCAGACCAAGTCGAGACTGGGAGAGTCCTGGTCCAGGACGGGCGTGGCAAGTTTGACTGACTTGGTCTAATTGGGCAGGAAGACAAAGTTAACCCACTTGTGGATTCTCCATCTCTCATGCTGGAGAAAGTCAAATTCTTTAGCCACTGAAAAGAGATATTAAAACCCAGTCAATTTCCAGTGCTTTGTGTCTATTGAGTCTGGGTTAATCTGGTTATTGGGGGGTTAGGGAAAAAAATCTGCAACAAGCTCTATAGGCTCTAAACCAGACATGTCAAACTTGCAACATCATGTGACGTCGCGCAACGTATTGGGACAGTTTTGCCATTGCCGGCAATGGGGTGGGCGTAGTTTCCACGTGATGTGTCCGGCCCGCGGGCTGACAGTTTGACACCCCTGCTCTAAACTAAAGCAAAAGATGGAGGGTGATAAAAACTCAGAACTTAAAGCGAAAAGCAAACAGCCAGAATAGGAATTCAAGAATGACGCTGCAATAGAAATGCCAGTAAGAGGTGTTTAAAATTTCAGGTGTTTCTGCACCAGTGCACATGGAATATTAAAATCATGGGATCATAGGACTGAAGACACCTTGGAGATATTCTAGTCCAGCCTTCTGCTCTGAGACCATACCAAATAAATGGCTCTCCAAACTTTGCTTCAAAAGGCCTACAAAAGAAGCATTCAAACTTCAGGAGGCAGGCTGTTTCATTCATAATAGCTGTCATAGTTTGGAAATTATTCCTTATCTCTGTAAAGCTTCCACCTATCAGTTCTTGATTTACCTTTGGGCACTACAAAAAACAAATCCATACCCTCTTCCCTATGACAAACCTTCAAGTACCGTGTTTCTTTTTAGCCTTCTCTCCAGGCTAAACATAATCAGTTCTTTTAATAGCTCTTCACAGTATTTATTCTCTAAGCCCCTTGCCATCTTTGTTGCTCTTCTCTGTACTTTTTCTAGTTCCTCAGCAATTTTGTTGTGTAATGGCAACTAAAACTGTATTCCAGGTACAGTCTGACCAATACAAACTAGAGCAAAATTACATTTCCTCTGCTCTCAATATTATATCCTCTGTTGATGCAGCCTAATATTGCACTGGCTATTTTGCCAATTGCAGCACAATGCAGGCTCTTCCTTATTCTGTGATCTACCAGGATACAAAAACCTTTTCACAAGTATTGCTAAATTACTACTTACCTAGTACCTGAACACAAGATTTTCATACCAAACTACAGAACCCTACACATCTCACCATTAAATTGCATTTTGTCGGAAAAGACTCAGTGTTCAAATCTATCAGGATGCTTGTTTATCCTGAAGTTGTTTTCTGAGGTATAAGTATTCCCACACCACACACACACACCAATCACCATCCATGCAGACCCCATAAAAACAGTGATTGTGTACTTCCAATGTCAGGAGTACCTGAGTCACTGCATTTTGAATCAACTGCAGTTTTCAAATACTTTTTAAGGGCAGCACAGATAGAGCAGTGGTAAGGGTTAGTGAGAAGGATAGTGATAAGGGATAAGTGATTAAGTTACTGTTGCCAAATTGTAATGAAAATGACAGATATAAAAATGAGCAGACAACTAACAGTTTTTTCTAGCCTCCTAAATTAGGCCAGACAAACTCAAAATTGAAGAGTATTTTGTAATCTACACTTTACATTTCAGTGTTTAAAAACTCTTTAATGCTATTTTAATTTTTCTTAAGGTTTCACCATTAGGGTTGATAAAAAGGTGAATAAAATCCCTTCTGAAGCATATATTGCATTCTAACTTCTACCAAATTAAGTTTAATTTCAGCAACCCTTTCAAATCCACCAACTTTCAGACTAAGAAAGACAAATGTTGAAATCAAATCAAAGTGTACAAATCAATATAAGCAAGCCCTAACAAGCAGGTTAATTAAAATATTTGAATATTTTCACAGAGTCATTGGAATTAAAGTCACCTGAGGTTTGTAATGGATGATCTTCATTACTTGATTCATAACACGTAACTGAAATTACCATGGTAACTGCAGATGCTGCAATGGAAATTACTTGACCAACAAGTTGTGCCTCTGAATTAAATAAATATAATAAATGAAAAGGAAACATATAATACATTTTAATTGAATTCTCCAGTTTTCACAGTAAAATTATAATCTAAATAATATACAACATACCTATATGAACAATTTAATAATAGAATGCAGGCAGTCCTCGACTTACAACAGTTCATTTAATGACTGTTCAAAGTTACAATAGCACTGGAAAAAGGGACTTATGACTGTTTTTCACACTTACAACCTTTGTAGCATCCCTATCATCATGATCAAAATTTAGATGCCTGGCAATTGGTTCATACTTATGACCATTGCTGTGTCCCAAGATCATGTGATTACCTTTTGCGACCTTTTGACAAGCAAAGTCAATGAGGAAACCAGATTCACTTAACAACCATGTTATTAAATTATCAATTGCAATGATTCACTTAACAACTGTGGCAAGAAAGGTAGTAAAATGAGGCAAAACTCACATAAAATTTTTTGCCCTCAATTGTGGTTGTAAGTTAAGGACTACCTGTACATCAAAAAACTTGAAATAGGTTCTAAATGTCATACAGTATACTAAATCCAACTTAGTAAAATGAAGTGATCTCTCCTTTTTGAAAGAAGAGGCGTTGGCTTACCTGAACACCTTTTCTCAGTACGGAGATGGAGAATCCACCAATGGGTTTTTTCTGTCTGCCTGCTCTTGAGACCAAGTTAGCCAAACTTGACACGCCCCCTGTTGCTAGGAGATCCAGTCTTGACGAGGGCAAAAGTGGCTGATGGTAGAACTAGGTGTTGGCTCTCAGACCCCTAACTCCGGCCTAACTGACCTAAGGGGTGGGTGTGGATTCTCCATCTCCGTACTGAGAAAAGGCGTTCAGGTAAGCCAACGCCCCTTCTCCAGTACAGGAGATGGAGAATCCACCAATGGGACATACCAAAGCCTCACTGTCCCAGTGGGTGGGAAGCAGATAAGGCCGGCTCTACGTCCCCGGAGACCACCTGCTGGATGACTCTCCGACCAAAGGAGGCGTCCGCTGAAGCGAAGCGGTCAATCCTGTAATGGTGTACAAATGGAGAGGGTGAGGACCACGTTGCAGCCCTGCAAATCTCCTTGATGGACACCTGAGTGGCCCATGCCGCAGAGGTTGCAGCGCTGCGAGTGGAGTGGGCTGTGATATGACTTGGAGCTGGCAGGGAAGAAGACTGGTACGCCTGCACGATATAGGCCCTGATCCATCTGCCTATGGTGGAAGCGGACATCTTCTGCCCCCAGGGAAGCCGGGAGGAAGGAAATAAAGAGGACCTCAGTCCGGCGAAAAGGTGCCGTGCGTTTGATGTAACGCCTCAGAGCGCTGCAGACGTCCAGTGTGTGCCACTGCTGCTCCAAGTCATGGCAAGGATCAGGGGAAAAATTAGGCAAAATGACTTCTTGTGCCCTATGGAAGAGTGAGTTGACCTTGGGCACAAAGGTGGGATCCAACCGAAGGATCACCCGGTCCTGGTGGAAGATACAAAGATCATTCCTGATCGAGAAAGCAGCCAGCTCGGAAATACGTCTGGCTGACGTGATGGCAATCAGGAATGCGACCTTGTGAGATAAGGCCCGTAATGGTATAGTAGTAATGGGCTCAAAGGGCGGTTTCGTGAGTGCGCGAAGCATGCGAGGCAGCTCCCAAGATGGATACCTGTGTACCACGGGAGGCCTAGTGTTGCGAGCGCCCTTGATGAAGGCGCGTAGCCTAGGATGGTGAGCTAGGGGAACTGAATTTGCGCAAGTGAGCAATGTTGATAGAGCCGCCACCTGTCTACAGATGGTCACAGGGGCTAGGCCTCTGTCCAGACCGTCAAGAAGGTAGTCTACGATCTGAGGGATAGTTAATTGGTAAACATCCAGTTGCCGCCTTCCGCACCAATGGCAAAAAAATTTCCAGGTGGAATCATAAATGTGATTGGTCGCCGTCCTACGAGAGGCCTGAATCATAATGATTGCCCGTGGCGAGAACAATTCTTGAGTCATGATCTTGCGCTCAAGCGCTAGGCGGCTAACTGTAACCACTGAGGGTCCGGGTGTTGGAGGACCCCCTGATGTAAGGACACGCAATGCGGGGGAATCTTCCACGGGGGAGAACAGGATAGATTCATTAGGTCGGCAAACTAGGGCCTCCGCGGCCAGTACGGGGCCACGAGGATCACCTCTGCCTGATCTAGGAGCAGTTTGCAGATGGTCGCCGGGATGAGCGGTAGGAGGGGGAAGGCGTAAAGTAGGCCCTCCGGCCACGGAGTCCGCAGAGCGTCCGTCCCCTCCGCCCCTGGAAAATAATAGCGGGAGAAATACCTGGGGAGTTGGGCATTTCTCGACGATGCGAACAGGTCGAGGGTCGGTTGGCCGAACCTTTGGGATATCTCGGAGAAAAGATCCGGATGTAGTCCCCATTCCGAGGGATCTATCGTAAAGCAACTCAGAAAGTCTGACTGCCGGTTCTTCTCCCCTGAGATGTGCTCGGCCCTTATGGATGCCAGGTTGGACTCTGCCCTGGATCCCAGCAACCTGGCCTTGGACATGAGGGACCTGGACCTGGTGCCCCCCTGCCAGTTCACGTGGGCCTTGGACGCCACGTTGTCCGTAAGGACCAATACGTCACAGCCTCTGATCCGGTGGTGGAAGTGGCGAAGAGCTAAGTGAATGGCCCTGAGTTCCAGCCAATTGATGTTGTGTCTCAAGTCTGCACGGGACTAACGGCCCTGCGCAAACTGAGACTGTAGGTGGGCTCCCCAACCGAACAGGCTGGCATGTCATGATGGTGAGGCGGTCGGGCTCCTTGAAAGGTGACCCCTTGGTAACCGCCTGTGAGAACCACCAGCGAAGAGACCTCAGGGTTTCGACCGGGAGCCTCACCTGCCGGCTTGATGCACTGGCGTTCAACCGCTGGACCGGTAGAAGGAACCATTGGAGCTCCCGCAAGTGGAGTCTGGCCCAGGGAACTATGGCTATGCAGGAGACTATTTTCCCAAGTAGTTGAGAGAGCAAGACCAGTAGAACGGTGGGGTCCTTGTACACTTGGCGAGCTAGGTCCCTGATGCTGTCCAACCGCTCCTGGGAGAGATCGACCATACAATTGGTGGTGTCTATGATGGCTCCCAGGTGCAGAGGTCTGGATGAGGGAACCGTCTGGCTTTTCCGGAAGTTCACCGAGAAACCGTGCTGTTGGAGGACATGAATTGTTAGGTCTATGTCCGACTGGGCCGCCCGGAAGGAGGACACTTGGATCAAGATGTCGTCCAAGTAGCACTGGACATGTACTGGTACCTTCTGTAGATGGGCGGCCAGCACAGCCAGGATCTTGGTGAACACCCTGGGCGCCAAGGAGAGGCCGAACGGGAGGGCCCTGTATTGGAAGTGATGGCTGCTGTAACAGAACCTGAGGAACAACCGGTGATCCGGGAGGATGGGGATGTGGAGATACACTTCCGTGAGGTCTATTGACGCCAGGAAATCTCCCTGTCTGATGCCTCCCAGGATGGACTGGAGCGATTGCATCTTGAATTTTTTGTAAGCGATGTAATAATTCAGACCCTTGAGGTCTAGAATTGCCCTCCATCCCCTCGAGGTCTTGGGAACCACAAAGAGAATGTAGTAGAATCCCCTTCCCCTGAAATCTGGCAGTACTGGTTCTATGGCCTATATTTCTAAAAGATGGTGAATGGCCTCCTGCATAAGCCCCCGTTTGATTGGATCCCGAGATGTGGGGCAGGTGATGAAATGACCCGGGGGACTGGACAGGAACTTGAGGGACAGGCCGTATTGAACGGTCTGTAATACACAGCTGTCTGTGGTTGTAATCTCCCACCGATGGAAGAAGTGGGTGACATGAGAGACACTTGGACCTCCTGAAAGGACGTCCTGTCCCATGAAATGGCCGTTTGCTTTGATTCTTCTGTCTGGGCCGAAAACCTGCCCTGTCATATGGATGGTCATATGGGCGGTCCTGTCTGGGCGTGAAGGAATGGGAGGGTTGGGTGGTTGTTGGGCCCAAAGTCGGCCGAAAGGACTGCCTACGGGAATAAGGAGTGGCACACTTGTTGGGCCGTTTGGTGAGATGAGCCATGACCTTCCACTTGTCCTTGTTTTCCACAAGGTACGGATTCAGGGCCTCCCCAAAGAGGTGGATACCTTGGTAGGGGGCGGATGCGAGACGCCATTTGGCCTTGGCATCGACCTGCCAGTGCTTAAGCCATAGCATCCTCCTAGCGGTGATGTTGGAGGCTAAGGACCTGGAAGCAAAGTTGGCCGACTGTAGAGTTGCGTCCGACGCATACTCCGTCGTTGCCACCATTTTGCTTAGGTCCTGATGGGTCCGAATGTCCTCGGGAGGGAGTCTGGCCTGAAGCTGACGAAGCCATAGGAGGGTGGTTTGGACAAAAAAGGAAGCGCAAGTGGCCGTTTTAATTGCCCACGCAGCCGACTGATGGGTCTTTCGGAAGGCTAAGTCCCATTTCCTATCCTCCGCTTTAAGCGCCTCGGCCATGTCTCCGGAAACCGCAGTCTGGGACACGAGAGGGGTCCAGGCTTCCTCCACCTTTGGTACCTCCAGAGCCTCAGTTAGATCTGTAGAGGTGCTAAATATCTTTTTGTCTGTTGCACCTATGGAGGGGAAAGATGATGGGGAAACCCATTGCTTCTTAACCCCTTTAAAAAAAATAGAGGGACAGGGAACATGGTGTTTGGCTGCCACGGTCTCGAAGAAGACCGGGTTCGGGCTCGCCTCGGATGTGGATTGCGGCTGAGGGAACTGATTGGACCCTATGTTGGCCGTCCTGGTGGCTTTGCGGAGTAATGGAAGGAATAAGGCCAGATTGAAAAGGTCTCCTGATGGGGAGGGGTCAGGGGGAAGCTCTTCCTCCTCTGACAAGTTGAAATCCGGCTGATCACCTCCCATCGGGGATGGGTAGCCACTAATTGAGGAATGGGCGGGAGATGTGGGTTCCTGATATAGGGGAATCCCTGTTGGAGCTACATAAGGCGG